CTTTTTACCTCCTTTCTTTGAAACCTTCTTCTTCTTCTTCTTCTTCTTCTTCTTCTTCCACTGGGATCCGTCTACGGGCTTCTACTTGTCCCGTCGTACGTCGAAAGAATGACAGATTTAAGGACGGCTCGATCAACGAATCGAGAGAAAGAGAGAGATGCTCGATGTATCTCAGCAGACATAACTCAACGCCAGGTAGGTATTAAGATTTTCGTAGCTACTTCACGTGCATTCCATCTCAGAGAGATCTCTTGCTTTCTCATTTCTGTTTGTTTGTTTGTTTGTTCCCTCTTTTTTCTTTTTACTTTTATTTTCGGTAATTTTTATTTCGATGGTTTATTTTTTGTAACCATACTTACTCTCCTGGTTGCGAATTTCGAAAGAGAAGATCGGAAGATCTCGTAATTTCGGTTTGGTCGAGACGACGAAATTACGAGTTTCCCTTCTGGTCAAGGTATGTAACGTACTTATGTACCTACTACTTCCTTTCGGAGGATATAAGAGAAGGGATCGGATCGTGGTAAGAGAAAGGGAAATTAATGCACCGTGCTGGTTTTCACTTTTATAATCGCCATATATATATATATATATATATATATATACGTTGACCTTTCCTCGTCGAATGAATGTTTAAATAGATGATGTAATATTTGGCAATTGCTAAATATGAAAAATCTAGATTTTATCTTTTAATTATTTTACTTCGTTAAACTTTGTAATATCCAATTGATATCGGTATTACGTCAACATTGTAACAGTTTCGATGCATAAATCGTTTATTCTAAAATTAATTAACACGTATTATACGACCGGTCATAAAATTTTTAATTAAAATATTATTACCTATGTTATATCACACCTTTTATAATTCCGACTTTTATTTATGATTTAAACTAACATGTTACCCGTTCATTCGATTATACAATTTTTTGTTTTTATCGGTTACACTTATCCATAAAAAATGTCGTTAGATTTATTATTAAATTATTGAATATTAGAGATCGTACATTTTTTCTAGTGGTTTAAAATTGAGATAAAAGGAAAAAACAACCACGTGGATAAAAAGAAATTTTGAAAGAATTCGATACGAAAGAAGTTAGTCCGAATGAATATCTTCGTTCTTCTTGCATACCCTTCCGTAGTTGGATTCACGGTACGAGCGTGATCACGTTCCGTAAGTGGGGTCTAATGGACGGAGTCTCAGAGATCAGTGCTTCGAAGACTTTTAGTTCGCGATACGCTTACTCGTAAATCAACGCTGCGAAACTCGAGAAGAAACTTAGCCATTTTACGGTGTCCTCGATGGAAGAGGAGAACGACAGCACGAAGAAGAAGACGAAGAATACGATCGACTTTTCTCTCGATCGAATCAATTCGATGTTCTCTATTCATTATTCTTTTTTTTTTCAATTTTTTTTTTTTTTTTAATACTCTTAGCTTCTTTCTTTCTCTTTCTCTTATCGCGATCAGTTTCATTTCCTCTTCTTTATCTTTCTCTTTTGCGTCTTGATGACACGTTAGTACTAACTTGTCCCGGTAGTAGGTATCCAACTACCATCCTTTTATTTTATTCACCTATCCTTTCAACGCTCGTCCACTGATAGAATAGTACTTGTTCCGTTAGATTCGCAATGCCGTATTTCTAACTACGATCTCTTTACGATCCTACTTCGGAAAAATATCGAGACTCGAGATAATTAATAGTAATTCTTCTGCATGTGTGGCTCGAATCGACTCGACGGTAACTCGAACCTAGCGAAATTAATTGTCTAATCGAAAAAAAAAGAACTTAACTTTTTCTGGAGATAGATTTGTCAGATCATTCATTCATTTACTTTCCAACTTACATTCTCGGCTAACGAAAAGATATTTTTATTTTTAAAATGAGACTAATTTGTATCTTATCTCGAAGTGTACTTGAAATATTTTTCATTTCTTACTTCGTATGAATTTAATGGAATACGGATTAAATATTTCTATTCAAATTTTAAAAATGATTTTTCTTCATCTTGCGTCTCTTCGTACTCGCGTCATCGCATTTCTAATATTTTCAAGACCCCTCGAAAATACTTGTACTTCGTCGTTTTTGCTTGGAAAATTAAAAAGCCTTGGCTCTAGCAAAATATCTGCAGGCATGTGGATAGGCAGGTACGTTGCTTCGTGAAACCACGCGCGTACATTTAAATTGCGAGAAGAGGTCTCTGTGAGTTCTTTTACAAGTCACATGAATCTAATATACATCGTAGCTGGGCAATTTTGTATGTTGCGTATCTTCACTCATTCTCTCTTTCTCTCTTTCTTTCTCTCTTTCTTTCTCTTTTTCATTATTTTTTGCATTTTTAATTGCAAGCAGACCTACGCGAATCGTATGTTTTAAAACCGGTGAAAAAGTTTAAACGCCAGCTCGCGCTCATTTCTTCCCTACGTACACGTGTTTTTATCAAATTCTAAGCACATCGTCGAAAGGATCTCAATGAAGATTTCGGAGGAAAAAATATCTACCGTTCTATACGTGAAACCATTGCACAACTGTAGTCATCATGTTTTACACGCTAGCTACGAGATATTACAAGTTTCCGTCTAGCTTTTATACGCTACACGAATTTGTATGAAAATATGTTACAAATTCTGATTTAATGAAAATCATGAAAAATGATCTTGGTTTCTTGGATTACAAAATTTGCTTGAAAAAGAAAATTGGGTCAGCCTACATATAATGAACTACTTTTTAATTAGTTTAACTTGAACATTTATTTCATTCGTTGACGTATTTTGTAAACTATGTCAAAAAAAGTTTTATCATTGAGTACATGTTCATACACACTTATGAATATAAATTTAATAAAATTTAAAATACGTATAGAAAAATATTACAAAAGAATTAATTATTTAGATTTATAATGTACTTTGCATATATTTTATAATAATTAATAGTATCCTTCAAAATATAAAATATCTCGTCGCTAATATATAATATGTTTAATTTTAAATCGTAATGGTCGATCTGTTGACTGTGGCGCAAAATTTAAGGAACTTTACACACAATTCTCCGACTCGATCGGTAACAAGAAGAAAACTTCACATAACGTATAGTATAAAATAATAGATAAATTGCAGTGCGCTTTTCAATAATTTTTGTATAACGCGTTAAAAACTTTTTAGCTTATTTTTCTAATTTTTTTTCCCAAAGTTATATTTGTTGCATACAGAAATTTTGTATACATTCGTGTACAAAGTATTGTCTATCATCAGGGGGCATCCTCCTACGATAAGTTCTTCCACTTTTCGTTAGATGGCACTCAAAATCTTGTTTAATCGATATATTATAAAAAATTTGAAATGTAATATGTAATTTGTATGCAGTATTCTGTAAAAAAAATACATTCCGCTTCGTAATTATAATAAATTGACTATTGATATTCACAGAACAATAATATAATATAAAATATTTATCGATAGGTAAAACTAATCTTCGAGTCTTACAATTAAGCAAATGCTATATTCTTGTAATAAGACGCGTCTATAATGAGCCTTATTAATGCAAGATAACATCTACTCTTACTTGGAATAGCAACCAGTACCGTAGCCCGTTCCCTCTTGCACGAAGAAAAATACTTCCGACGAAAATGCAATACGATATGCCAGCTTGGATAGAATATCGTAACTTTAGAATTAAATTCACAATCAATTGAATCACTTCGTTTGGAATTCTTTGAGTCACTTAAGAAAAATCGTAATCTAAATATAAGCCTTATCTTTATTAAGGACAATTAACATTGAACAGCTGACAATAGTATCGATTACCGATTGAAACTAAAACTTACAACCAAAACAAACATAAAAATTCATTTCTATGCAATATACTCGAATGAATATTTCCATAGTGTGACGATACTTACAAATCGATTTCTAAATGAAAACAATTAAAAGTTTGTTGTATTGAATTTTGTTCTTTTTACAAAAAATGAATCGATGAAAACTAATTTGTTATAAGTCATCTATACATCATTGTATTCCTTTGATACAAAAAAAGAAAGCATTTCTTTTTGTTAAATTGTTATCAATGTTTAACGAAGAATTGAGAAAAATCATGAATGTTAATTTTTCAAACATATTTCTTTGGATGCATTTTCCCCCCACCCTCTAATTTCCCATAAAGTATAAAACTTCTTCCACGGTCGGCGGGGCAGCACAGGTGACCGGAGGTGTTTCGAAGGGGGAGCTTCCCTCCTTCCACGCCTCGGGGAGCACGCCGGGCTGAATTTAACTCGTAACAACCGTACATTTTGTGGTGTTCCGTGTACGGTCAGTGCTCACGGCGTAGAACGAACGCGAATGGCAGCCGAGTACGATCCTCACTCTCCGCACGGAGAATTCGCGCGCCGTCATCGTTTCGACTTTCAGTTTAACAACGCGAGCTCGCCCGAACAGGTGAGCATCGGACGTCTACTGCTTTCCCTCTCACTTTTTTCTTTATCTTTTATTTTATTTTATTTGCATTTTTTGTTTTCCCTACGAATTTTCGGGAAGACTTCTGTTAGAGACTTATATAGTCGACGATTACCTAAAATAGGCTTTGACGTTTTTGTCCGTTTAAATATTAAATCGTTACAAATGTAACGCAGTTTTTATTTACGAGGAAAACACGAAGAGTGATTTTATTTTTTCATAAATTTTCATACAATTTTTCATTGATTTAAAATTTGGATTTTTGTCCGATAGTGTTGTACGGTAATAGCGTGTTAATTAATCGAATTAGTTCTATATACGTATTTAAATATACAAATAATGTTGAAGTTTTCTAGATAATCTTAAGAGAGGAATCTTAACCGAGTACGAATTTGGCGCGCTCGATGGTTTGAATGGCGACGCGTCTGCCGCGTCGAGTGAATGTTCCAAACGTGAGAATTTTTTTTGTCACGAGGTAGAACAAATTATTAAAGTAAATTAAACTAATAACGGATAAAAGTTTCGGAGTTATTGCAAGAAGGTGAATGAGGAAGGGAAAAGAAAAGAAAAAAAAAACTTTTTCATAATTCGAGGATAATGAAATTGGGATCTAAAAGTTCGAGATAAAAATTAGTAAGTTACTCGATATAATATCATCGCGTATCACGTTCGCGTGATTCGAATTTCTTCAACATAGCAATGTGGACAGTGAGTTTTGAATCATACGACGTTGATAGACGTGCACGTACGTACATATGTCAGTAGAAATTTTATAGAAGAGAATTCTCATGAATCCGAGACATGTAATTAATACTTTCGTCACCTCGTACAGACCTTCCTTCCATCGACCTAACTGCGATTATCGTTTTTTAATAACTTCACGATACTTAGGAACAAGATCCCCAACTCGTTTTAATATACACCTTTGTATTTATGTACACGTGTATTGCAATAAGGTAGGTTAAAACGAAATAAAAAAAAAAAGACAATCAGAAAATTGTACCCTATCAACGAACAACACGTTATTGCATGATTTTCGCTCTAGGCCAAACAATTTTCAATGATTACGAAACGGTAATTAATTTTTCTACGATAATCTTACACGTAGCAAACATCGATGCGTGACCCCCCTGTACGAACATCGGTACTGTCCCACATGTTTTTCTCGATGTCTACCATCATTAATTATTAACTGGAAATCGTTGTTCTTATGCAACTATGAAAGTTAAATTATAAGGACGATAATAACGATTCTTGACTTAGGGAAATGTATGGACGTAATATTCTTGCGAAATCTTATTTCTTCTTTGGCGATCGTATGAATCGCTTTCTTCGAACGTTCGCAATTTCCGGTTTACTCCAAAGCTTCATAGAAAAGGTTAGAATATTTCTGTCTCGATTCGTTTCGAACGAATTGTTACAAGAAAAAAGAAAAAAGAAAAATACATAAAAATTTTACATTCGCGATCAAATGAAATGCATCGATAAAAATTTATATCCAACAAAATTGCACACAAATATGTTTAAACGAGATTAAATCTGACATGTAAAAAAGGTTTCTTAAGTCGCCGCTCGACTTTCTTCTACGAAAAGATAATTCGTTTGTAGAATATATGTGATGGTAGAAGTCACGCAGCCCACATGTTTGTTCGAGCACAAACTTATATTATAAAAAGTATCAAATAGAGGAAAGCAAACACTTCCTAGGATCGATTATACAATAAGAATTGAGACAACATCAATAAGCAATTTTCCGCTCTGAATATGCGTCCATCCGTGTCGTAGAAGATTCTCCTCATTCGGATCGATCGTGATTCTCGATTACCAGTTGCTATCGTCTTACGTTTCACCGCTATCGTTTCTTTACGGTGGTAGTAGACCAGTCAAAACGAAAGAATAACTGTGGCCTACCAACAAAACCTATTTTTCACCAACCGAGTTTTAGAAATACATTGATAATTTTACATTCAAAGAAACGAGTTCTATTACGTACGATTTAAAAGATTGAAATATCATCAAATTTAACTTAATTAAGGAAGTCGTTTACCCGAATAAAAATATTCAATTATCTCGTTACGCGTTTATCTTTATAGCACAAAATACGACCAATTACTTGATTGAAATTTTTTAATGAACAAGCAAAAATAAAAAAACCAAGGTGTTTGAAGTAATTCGATCGTTTATCTCAATCGTACTTCATAATCCAACGTATCTACATCTATGAAGTACAACCATTCTAAATCAGTAACTGAAAATGATACAACAAATTTTTTAAAGCCACAAAACGTTATTGGACCAAATTAATAACTAACAAGATAAAAGTAAGAAAGAGGGAGAGAGAAAGAGAGCAAATAAACTTAAGTAACTTTACTTGATATTAGTACGATATCGAAACTTAATCGCATAGTTTTATGTTATAGTTATTGCACGGATATAAGGTGTAATATAATAGTGCATAACACAGGTACCTACGTATGCACCAATATCACGGTTGTGTTACACCTGCCGAGCATGCGTCAATAGGCCACTGTCAAACATAGACACATAGATACACTTACACAAAAGAAAACAGATGCGGGGAAGAGGTCGTCACGCGACGAATATCCTTTATGGGGTTGGCTGGGTAACAGACGGTATTATGGGGTGTGTCGATACCCCGCATGGCTTTATCATTCGGAAGCATGCATGACAGGTGTAGGAAATGACGTCACTCGTCTCAGGATATACCTCTTTGTAACACGAGCTTTCGTCTACGTATCTATTGCCAAATTCAATCAATAAATTTACCAAATACAAGACTTTTCTATTATTTTATACTTTTTGTTAATTTCTATTTTTTAAATATTTGATCCCTATGATTATTTTTCTTCTTGTTTTAATTAGTACAGTGAATTTTTTTATTTCAAAGAATTAAATAAAGTTTAAATCTTTTCTAAGAAAATAGAAAAGTTTTCATCTTATTCGTAATCTCGTCGAGATAAAAATGTCTCGATCGTTTCCATTTGTAATTTTTGTCCATTGTTTTTCCACGACTGTTTTCAACGTTGTTTTTATCATCTATGAAATTGGTATTATTTCTTCGAAATCAGGTCGTTTCCTTGAAAGGTGGTTTTATCGATCAACCGATTCAAGTAACCGAAAGTCAAACCATTGGAAGAAGTTCGGTATGAATCTTACACTCTTCCTTATAGCTTTCGTGGTAATAGTTCGAAAAGAAGTTAGTATTTCGCAAACGTTAGCGAGAACACGCGAATGTCTAAGAAATTTTTCGAACCGTTCGTTCATTCGTTTGTTGCTCGACGAAGTGAACACACATTTAAAACCTAGTAAAATATTTTTAAGAAAATATTTTGATATATATATAATTTTTTTACTCGAACAAAAAAAAATGAGAAAGTTTATTATTAATTGTTAATGGGAGTAATGTTTTTGTCCATATGCTTTATTTTTCTGAATCTTTTTTTCGAATATATTCAAAGAGTACTCATAGAGTGTTCTCGAGTGTTCTTGTTTCGCATGCTGAACGATCTCGCGAAAATTTGCGTACGATTAAGGAGCAAGACCGTTTTCTGCGCGTGGCAAGCAGACTGCGTGGCCTCCCCATTTAGCGGAGTCTTAAAAGTCAAGAGCGTGGCCGACACACTCCGTTAGCAAGAGGAACACGCACTCGCTCTGTTCACGAGTCTTGTTTTAGTGTCGAATCCTCTAAAAGGGGGCACACTGACGAACATCCTCTTCTTCGCTTCGTCGATTTCCAAACAAATGTAATACCTGACTTTTACGTTTACTTTATCCTTTCGAAATCGTAACTTTTCATTTTTTTCTTCTTCTTCTTCTTTTTTTCCACCTTATAATATATATCGTTTAAAATTCTATCATATTTCTTATTATTAACTTCTTATTATAAAATACGTTAGATAATATGATTCTTCGCGTATAGTTCATTCATTTTCTAGCCTTTGGAAAAATGATAATCTACTCGTAGTTATATTTCACTCTACCTTCCTTATATGTTACTTCTATCATTACACTACTAAAGCAATCATAGTCGTTGTAATTATGAGTGCATAAACACTATCATCATTAACATTATCATAAATACAGTTTCAAAAGGTTCAAAGACTAATCAAAATAACTATTTTCTCACGTTTTTACTATTTAATATTTTCCAAATCAATCGAAATAATTAACAAGCGCAAGGAAACACGGTACAAACCTTATTACAAGCCTTTGTAATTAATAACGATTATTTTAATACATTTTTCATAATTTCTTTCAATTTAAACCATGTAAAAATCTATTCAAATTAAAATAAATATTTCTCAGTAGATAGAACAAATGGATAATAATTTATAACGTGAGAATTTTCTAGGTGATAGAAATCTTTAAGGACATTTTGGTAACGAACTTCGTTCAAGAATTTCGATATCCCTTTTGGAGTCCATGGGGGGTGGAATCGAAGGCGTTTCGTAATCTCGCATAGTTATCTCTCGTTTCCTGGCATCGGCCTTGCAGACGAGTGACCACGACCGGATATGCTCGCCTTTACAAAGAACTCGAAGGAATAAGTACCGAGGAAGCCGAGGAACGAGAGACTTAATGAACGTCGTGACCGTGGTTCAACGACCTTATTCACGCCCTTTGATTCCATAAAATTCAATTATCCGTACCGACATAATCAACTCTTCGTTCTTTACTTATGTATATATACTTCTTTTCTATATAATCTCAAGAATAATAAAATTAAATATAATTAAAATTAATTTTTACGTGCATTTATACAACAAGCAATTTTAATTCATTGCAATATTTCGATTTCATTTCTATGCGTAATATTTTCATTAAAAAAAAAAAAAATGATAAATTTGCTAATATTATCAGCAACGTTAGAAAAAGATTAATCAAAAATATATAAATGTAATATTTTAATTTAAAAAATAACAAATTGTTTTGCCATCTTATTTAGACGTCTCCGTTAATTTCTTTCGTTTTCTACGTTTTACATAATAACAGACACTGGTTAAGTTGAGATTATTATTTCGTCTTACTGTATTATCATTTCTTGGAAATGATGTAGTTTATTTCGCCGTTAAACTTGGAAACTTTCGTCTAATCTAAAAATTCGCTTTTAGTACTTTCCTTTTTCCTGTTTGTGTAATTTTTTTTTTTTTTTTATTACGAGAATATTTTATTCATTTTTAAGTACTCGCTTTCTCATCCTTCAACCGAAAGTTAATTATTATTGAAATCGAAAAAGTGTACTCGGCCGTAACAACGATCGACGATGATAGAGAGAAATTAAAATATTAAAAACGCGTTTCTCTAGAAAATTGAATAGAATGATTGTAATTATTTCCAAAAAAATAATTTCTAATTAATTATAAATTGAAAAAAGGGAGCTGAGAGAGAGAATCGACGAGATTAGAATTGTGATTATCAAATCAAGGGAAAACGTATGTATTACATAACAAACAACATGTCAGTAGGCATTCATTGAAATCAAGTCAGCGAACTCGTTTTTCTTCTTTTTTTGCATTCTTTTTCTTGTATATTACGTTTACGTGGCTGAATAACATCCTCGTGAGAACACACGTTGGGTTCTTCCGGTTGGCTTTCACTTCGTCTCTAATTGTCCCTGTGGTCAGTCGGAATGAAAATCTTGACATTGCACGATGACCGTCTTTACCAAGGAGAAAGCAGTTATTGTGTTCACGGAACCATTTATCAAACGACGTGTACAAAAATATAATAGATAGTAGATATCAACTAATTCCGCTTCCATAATTACGATCTAACTATGATAAGGAACTTTGTGAAGAACAAAAATGAGAATAATTTTTATCAAGATTTAAATAAACTAAGGTTAAAACGACGATAGATTGTATCCTGCATATTTGACGCAAAACTGAATATTCATATAATGTTAAAGTAAAATCAAATATGAAAGTGTATATACATATGAATTATCATACGAGCTTAAGTAACTTTGACTAATAAAAAGGGAAAAGAAAAGAAAATTTTTCACAGCCCGTTAAATGAAAACTTTTTCTGAAATACTTGATCGTAGAACCGTGCACGCGCGTGTTGATCATTTCTTTAAGGGTTAAATCGTCCATAAAATTTTAGTGAAACTTCGAAATGATTTATTTAAGATACTGTTAAGTTAGTTCCCTTCTAATCATCATACATAAACTCACAGGGAAGAATTCAAGACTACTTTCATCTTCTCTGGGACGTGTTTCACTTCGCAACCAATTATGGAATCTGGATCCTGAGAAGTTGCTTGGAGTTGTCCGACTTGTCTAGGAAACTCGTGTCGACTAATCGCACTCGAGCATGTTGACTCGTCGTTAGGTCTTTGGAGTAATTAAATTACGACGAGGACAATGAGAAAAGCGTGAAACTATACGAGCGTAAAAGTGACGCGTGCGCGAAGAAAGTTGTACTAGTTTTCCATGCGAACGAGTGTTATCTTTCTGTATTAACATTATCCATATTAATAACGTAATATTAATATAGAGATATGTATACAGAAGATAATCTAATAAATATCTTGGAAAATATTTTTGCAATGATGTAAATTATGGAGAAATTTAAAGAAGAAATTATTTATAAATTCAAATTTTCTTTAACAAACTATATAAATTACTATATAAGTCTCAAAGGGAATTATAGACGGTTAATAAATCTAATGAACAATTTATTTTGAACTAGTTGTACGTTTCGTCCCTTACTGGGGACTTCATCAGCAACTTGATCATTTACAGTTCACGTGTCAATACATATTATCTTTTTTACAGAGTCATACATTTCAATAAAACTTAA